TAAAGCATACGGTGCAATTATCCTGGTTGACAATTTATTTGGGCTGGGCTGATGTTACTGATCAGTGGGTTCACTGGCAGCCCAAGGCATCTCCGGTCGCCGATGCACCTCCCATTGCTTGGGAGCCCTTCTGTTTACTGGCAGCCCAAGGCATCTCCGGTCGCCGATGCAGCTCCCATTGCTTGGGAGCCCTTCTGTTTACTGGCAGCCCAAGACATCTCCGGTCGCCGATGCAGCTCCCACTGCTTGGGAGCCCTTCTAACCACCTGGGCTCCCGTCTCGCTGTTGAGGACTCGGAGGAAACAGTAGCCTATTGCATCGCCTGAGATATTTGGTTTTCCTTAAAACCCTCTAGACAATTAGGGGTCTTCTTAAATGTTTAGGGCCCCTTTGGCGCCTGGGAGGCCCATTTCATCACCCAGGAGCCCTTCTGGCTGATCGTTGGACCCCTGACCGGCCAGGGGCACTCTGGACACTTTGGGTTTAGTAATTGCCTTGGGCTGCCTGATGCTTAATACCACTCTTGCTGCTCAGGACCTTGCTCTTAACGGACCAGGACCTTGCTCTCATGGATGGACCACTTTGGCCCCAAGCAGTTCTCCGGCCAATCAAATTTCTGACAGGCTGCCGGGGTCCCCATTGAACCCGGCAGCCTGTCAGATCAGCAGTAACAGTATACCAGTATCAGACATCAACATTATCTAGACATGACAGGGGGCAGCGTTCACTTTTTCTCTCACCTCGCAACAAGTAAGCCCCAGGGATTGTGAAGGTGTACGAAAATATAATATTTTTTTGTTACATGCAGCGCGAAGAAAAGTGGCCATGCTTAATGGAAATATCCCATCCTGTGCCTATTCGTTAGGTCCCATTTATCCACCCTAAGGCCATTTACGGCTAAGTAGGCCAACGCGGGCATCGGCCACTTTAGGCACTCTGTATAGCAACGTATCCATAGTGTAGAGCCAGTGTGCCGGCATTCCTAGCAGCGGCAGCATTTTTCAAATGATCATGTATAAATGAGTGTTTCGGCTGTATGCATGACATTGAAATTGCGAAGATGGCAAAGGCTTTCGGTAATGCACCGATTCCTAATGGCGCTACGAGACAGGACTTCTTTGTCATGTCACGTCATCTGGTATCGCATTACGCTGTTGGCAGCAATTTTCCCTGCAGAAATTCGGTCGGTGACAAAAATACTCTCTTACTCCGCGTTGGGCGTCTCTTCTACGCGCGTTCAATGTGACAGGTGGCGTAGTTAGCGGTCGGAAATGCCTCAAATGTTTACGCGGGGAAACGGGGGTTCGATTCCCATCTGAGGCCGTACCCGTGGCCCGCTAACACCGCCACGCAGCTGCGGTGTTTGGTGGAAGGCCGCATGTAAGCGTGCCGCCTGCCACTTCCCTGAACCGAACCGGATCGTTCGCGTGCCGTCTCACCCCCCCCCCCCCTTCCGCCCCCGTTTGGCAGGCTGGAGATGCACAACTTCGCGACAGCGGAGCATGGCGGCACCCACATGGACGCGCCCGTGCACGTCTTCAGGGGCGGCTGGACCTTGGAGAAGATCCCTGTCGATCGGTTTGTGGCGAACGGTAAGCATATGAGCGTAATATGTCCACTCCGAACATTGTGACCAAGTCATACTGCCCGTAGTTTTTTTGGCAGTTAGGAATACTGCGTGATGTCAACTTTGTTCGTCTACGCTAGGTATAAAGCATTTTGGAAAGGTTTTGTACCTTTTAAAAAAAATGGCAGGCTCCTTGTTAAAATTTTGAGTTGGCAGAGACATCCTTTTGCGCCTTCGGCATACCCGCAGAGGAGGGGAACTGTGCCCCCTGGGGAAGGGGCAGCTGTCCTCCTCGCTGTGCAGACTTTATAGCAATCTTAGTCTACGTGATCCGGCGGCAAAAAGAAAGCATTTACGGCAGAATTCAAAACAAATGTTGGTAGAGACCAGGTGCCCAGGTGCAAGAAAAAGGAAAACGAATTGAAGCCCTAAATTGAAGAACTAGTCAGAAACAATCAAAAGCACAAAATACCGCGCCCTTTAATGGTCTATACCTAAGCAAAAATGTCTTGCTAAACGTACCAATATATATGCGCGCAACCCACACAAATAGGCAAGATGTATATATCGCAATTAGGTCGCCCCGTGGCTGATCCGGTTAGCGCGCCGCCCCCCCCCCCCCCCCCTCCCAACCTATCCACGCCGTGGCGAGGTAGGCGAGCTCGAGTCGCTTTAACGCTGCTATTTGCACCTGGATCCGGGGGTGTAGTTCCCGTTCCCTCTTGGGGGACGGGGTTCCAGCCCCCCAACTTTGAAAAGTAAGTGGGCCAAAGCCGATAAGCGGGCTCGCTTGTTTGCGTATGTTAGAACTAAGTCATTCTGCCCTGATCAGCCCTCTCCCCTTACTCACGTCGCGAAACTAACCACCTGTCTGGACGGGATAGCCCGCGACGGGTGGCAGCGGTCGCTAAAGGTCAGATGTGATCAGACGACGGGGTGGACAAGGCCGAACATTGCCAGCGTTACGGTGAGCATTCCGGTCACAAAATTCTGCCAGTGAACTGGAATTTTACCATTTTTGGTGGGCAGAGTGATCGCATAACAAGCACTGCTTTGCGTGGTGTCTGATTACAAACATCCATGCGATCAAAGTGATCGGAGCAAGGAAAACCTATCTGAGTGTTGAGCGTCGATCCCTGGCGGCTCAAACCAGCCCAGCGCATTATCACGTCAGAGTTCGTAAGTGGGGCGAAAGGGAGTGGAGCTCCAGGTGGGGTTCGATGGGCATCGTACATCGTTGGCGGCCGGTGCGTTTCCGCGCCATACATTTTCCGCCTCACCGTTCCACCACATCGACAACCTGCTACACCAAAGATTCCTGAGATGACATTGAACTCTGGGGGTGTCACCAGTCGGGAAGCTTTCTCGGAGGGTGAGGTACCCAGCTGTCCTCCGCGACGATGCCCGCACCTATACACTGCCAAAAATCCTGCACGCGAAAGTCATCTCCGAGTTCGTGGGAGTAGGGGACGCACGCAGGGTGCTAAAACGCAAACTCTTGCAAGTGCCCCGCATGTGCTAGAAGGTTTCGCCGGATATATTAAACGTAGGCTATGTCAGAACGGATGAACGGAATTTTGACACCAAAAGCGTCAAAGTGACAAAAATAGCCGAAAACACCCGATAAATTACAGACGTTCAGTTCGGTCAACTGGAGATGGTGTGCTTCAATTTACTTGTTACAACAAATTAAGTCGAAAGCGTTCCTGTTTTGCTATCCCATACAGCGAAATCATTTGCTACCTGCTTCTTAGGCCTTTACGGTCCTTTCACGCAGTTGCCTCTTCCAGGCATGAGCGAAAATCCATTAATGCCATGGGGGAAGGAACAGAGACCATGGATCTTTTGGAAAACTGGAGCTGGTTGGGCAATTGCGTCGCTGGCCATTGGTCTTCCTATCTCTCCCCTTTTTCATCCGCACGTCACGTTGACCACACAACGTGACAGACGGGGATATACTCTGCCGAGCTTTGACGTCATTAGCAAAAGGCGTCAGTACCTCTGTCGCGCCCTGTTTCACCTCGGCGCCTATTATTCCAGCGGCTGTGGTCAACATCTCCGCCCGGAGTCGGGCTGACCCTGACACGACCTTGACCCCGGCCGACCTGATCGCCTGGAAGGAGGCGCACGGCGACTGGATCTACCCCACCATCCTGCTGGTGAACACCGGCTACGCTGCCCACTGGGGCAACAACACGCGCTACTGGGGTGTGCCACCCGAGGAACTGAAAAAGGAGACGTCAGTTGGATATAACGTGCACTTTCCTGGTCAGTGTGAAGCTGAGTGGAAGTATTGGTTGATAATATTATTGATATTCATTGATAAGATTGCAGTCACAAGCTGCTGTGTAAAGCCGTCAGTCCGATAAACTAGGAAAAGCGAAACCGTGACCACCACTTGTCTGATTGTATGTGGCGACCGCGTCAGTGAGTGTATATGCGCAGACATGACATGGCGTTAGTATACTTGTATATCCAGGGTGACATCAGTGGTTATCCGCAGACTTGAGCTCAGGTTGTCTCTGACGGGACGTCACTGGGTATCCGCAGACATAACCTCAGAGGATAGACATGCCCGTGGCTCGGTGTGACGTCAGCAGGTATCCACAAACCTGAGCTCAGGTGACAGACATGCCCGTGTCTCGGACGTGACGTCAGTGGGTATCCGCAGACGTGACCTCAGGAGATAGACGTGTCCGTGTCTCAGTGTGACGTCAGTGGGTATCCGCAGACGTGACCTCAGGAGATAGACGTGTCCGTGTCTCAGTGTGACGTCAGTGGGTATCCGCAGACGTGACCTCAGGAGATAGACGTGTCCGTGTCTCAGTGTGACGTCAGTGGGTATCCGCAGACGTGACCTCAGGAGATAGACGTGTCCGTGTCTCGGTGTGACGTCAGTGGGTATCCGCAGACGTGATCTCAGGAGGTAGACATGTCCGTGTCTCGAATGTGATGTCAGTACCCCGGTATTCGTAGGTGTGGCGACAGGTGTGGATGTAAGTGCATACATGACATCCGCCCTTGTCTCTCGGCAAAGCATCGGCAAATGCGTGCCTAAATACTCGGCAGATTACACTCGTGTCCGAGCGTAACAGCAGCACACCCGCATGCGCAGATTCTGTTGACGTAATATTCGGATCTCCACAACCAGCGCCACTTTATCCCCGTCCGGAGACGTGGGTCTCAACACCTTTGTCTGCGGGCGTGATACCAGTATTACCCGTGTCGGCCAACCTGGATGTGTTATTACACCCAGACGTCAGAGCACTCATAGCATCACGGTCAGTGAACACATTACATCAATGACAGTGCATATGTGACATCAGTGACGATCCACGCACACCGTAAGCGCCAGCGCGCACATGACGTCATTGGTAGTGCGCGCGTGACGTCACTGCTCGCACCGGGCGGGTATCGGCGAGGCGGCGGCTGAGATGATCGCCGCCGACGGCGCCATCGTCGGCGTCGGCATCGACACGCCCTCACTGGACCCGGGCACCAGCAAAGTGCTCCCCGCCCACCAGGCGCTGTTCCGGCGCAACATCTTCGGCCTAGAGCACGTGGGAGACATGAGCCGGGTGCCGGCCACCGGCGCCACGTGAGCACGGAGACGCTGCCCGCGGTCTGCAGCCGCTGCCATGCCGCTGGATCAGTGCGCTTGTGTTGTGCGGTTGGTACTAATGATGAGGCTCGGATTCAGGGTAGAGAAACTTTTGTTTTGGCTGTCAGCTGCCTGTCCTATTATCTAGGCAACGTTAACAATACGTTAGGCTACAAATGCGTTACAACGTACTCTGCATGTTCGAATGTACGATTAATCCTTTAGTTAATCTGTTCTTACCAGCTCTTACTCGCCCTTAGCTGGGCGAGAGAGTGTTTACGTTGTTCTTCCCTCATCAACGTCTGAGGTGGAACTAAAAACAGATGCAGCTCAGAGTTTTGGGTGCATCTCTTCTACCCAGCTTCCACACTAAAAACCGGAACATTCAGATGGAAGAGGACACTCGGGGCTTTCCCACCTAAATACATGGCAAGCTCCTTCCTACCAGCGTCACTTTCTGCCGCAGGATCCTGGCGTTGCCGATGAAGATTGGCGGCGGCAGTGGCGGGCCCTGCCGCGTGCTCGTGCGCCTGCCGTAGCCGCTGGTGAACAGCGACCTAGCAGCCACCTAGCAGCCACCTACCAGTCCGAATACGCCGCAGATCGGTGGAGCTGATGCACGTGGGACCATGGTGGATGACCATCATGACGCTCTACAGCTGTGTGTTGCGTTGTATTAGACACGAAATACATCGATGACGAGAGTTGTACAGAACTCTTGACGGAGAACGTCCTTAATGTTCCAAGCAAGGGTAAAAAAGCCTCCGATTTGTTGGCTGTAGGCGCTGACAAAGATGGTAAATTTTGCGATATATTTTTGATGACAAAATCGTGAAAAGGGAAACAACTTATAAGAAAGCATACCAGTCACACGACACACAAAGCTTAGACTTGGTCTGTGCTCTCCAACACTTGTAGCGTGAGGTTGTGTAGTGCGTCGGAACATCGACTTTTGCCGTGTAAGCGAGTTATGTAAATGTACCGCTGTGCCTGCTGACGCTGGTTGTGTTCGGATGGTGAGAATCTCACCGGCTTGAAAGACGTACCTAGCCGTTACTGTCTGTAAAGCGCAGTATGTCTCTTCTAGCGGTCTACCGCAAACGGCGTCTCTGGTAGAAGCATCAAAACGCCTCGCCAATCTAGGGAGGTAGTAAGTTATGGATACGCAGAATGTAGCTCCAGAGGCAAACGGGGGACGTTGAAGAGACACATGTCAAGCATTTATTCCAAGATTCCAACTGAGGGGTGCTAAATGTACGAATTCAAATGCACGATCTTGTTCTAATTTGTTAAGTTGTGTGAGATGTTGTTCTGAGTTGTTTGAAATGACATGTTTATCAGTAAGTGTAGGGCTGCTGGGATTTAGTTTTGCGAAAAACCTACGATGTCGGCGCGGGGGGATAGCAAAGAAAAATGTCTGAACCTGCCTCCAAAATTTGTTTAAAAGCGGCTTCTCCCGGGACTCGACCTATTTTTCCATATTTCGGACCAGGCGCGTAATTTAACGGCTTTTTTATTAATTTAATGGCTCAGCTTACCCGGAAGATATGTCGACAGATGTGTTTCTTGTCCACGTACTGCTCAAAGTTGGCGGGCTGGATGGAGCCCATGTTGGAGGGGGGGGGGGGGGGGGGGGCAGAGCGATGGAAGTGATGAACTCCCCTTCGCCCCACGTCTGAATAGGAAACTCAACCGCCGCTGGCGACACAATCCCAACTGAAAAGGAAACTACGTACCTGAAGGGCTAGATAAGCTGAGCGTGCTATTATCTCACAATTGTCTTAGGCGACAAAGCTATCCATTTCCATCGGCCCAGCCGTCGGCCGACTTCGCCGATTGCTATCCGAGTGTCATTGTTACATACCAGACAGTACAACATACTGAAAAGGATCTAGATATGGCAGCTGATCTGGCCGCAATGGCATGTTGCAATCGTTGCGATGCAACTGAAATAAGGCACGGTGACTTTCAATGCACCGCGCGTCTGCAAGTGTAGCCAGTATTGTAGCGTCATGAATGAACGATCAACTTAGGTCCAAATGCTAGCTTATTATATTAAACGAGAACGTTTGCAGACACTTCTTTAGCCCCTGTCGTTAGTTCACAAAAAATCTAGGAAAATACTTGGCCTGAAAATCAGGAATATGCATCGGTCGAGGACACTGAGTGCTGGCAATGCCATTCATGTCTCTATCGGTGGTGTGTGGAGCAAGGCGCGCTTTTGGAACCCCATCACTCAAGGAATATCCATCGTGAATCAGGTAAAGGTATGTCAGCCCCGCGAGCTCTGTGTGTGCTGTAAGCAGGCTCTGTAAGTGATGCAAGTAAGCTCTGTAAGTCCTGCATGCGTCTGAACAGGGACGATGCAAGGATATAGGATTTTTAGTGGCTTTAAGTTACGTTATTCTCCAAGATTGGAGAGCCGGGCTCCCTAACTAATCCCGCACAAAATCGGCTCATAAATCGGCAAATAAGTCCGGTGGCCACTTAAGAGAGGGGAAGCACGGGAAAACCACACATACGCAATTTTACTTTGTTAGGGTAAGCAGTATGGAAGACATGGGCAACAAGGATCGTCATTCAGGATCACAATTAAATGCATGTATGTGGGGAGAAACCGTGAGTAAAACCTTGGTTACGTTGGGTGCTGGGTCATTAAATCATCGCATCATTATGCATACGCACAAGGCCAGGAGGAGCCGAGTGGCGAATCAGTTCTCATCAGATTTTCGTACCAAGTGGTGATTTAATCACGCAGTCGAGAACAAGGTCAGATAAGGCAGGATCACTGTCACCCAGCAGCGTTTGGAGGGCATGGGGGAGGCGATATGTCAACAAATAACTCGTGCCAAAACGACGTTCCCGAGTAAGAGCAGCGCATCCAACCAACACGTGTCCTACCGTTAGCCGGACGTTTCAAGCCTCGCAGACCGGTGGCGCTGGGCGACTGCATAGGTGGCTGTGTGTGAAACGAGTGCGGCCATATCTCAAACGCATCAAGACCGCTTCTCTCTGCCTGTTCTTCTGATGACACGTCGTCTTTGGTTGGAGCATGGGTTTAATTCGATACATATGACTAGTGTGCGAAACTTTCCACCGATTCTAAAATACCGAGCGAAACGGACTTAACTTAAATGAAGAACATCACCTAATGCAATAGACACTTCCATAGACTTTGGTCGACAGACACCTTCTTTCACAAGGGAATCCTCGGGGACATTTCCGCGACGCCACAATATCCTGGCGTCCACAAAAAGGTGACACGTTGGTCGGCAGGTAGCGAAAGTATTATGTTATGGATGTCATACACTTCCGGGTGGTTGAAATCATCGAGTCACTGAAGGACCTGCGGCAATGTCTTAGTTGTTTTGCCGCGTTTGCATCAGAGATGCCACCGAATATTTGCAATAAGCTTTGGAAAGTTCAGTAAGAAAAAATCTGGCATACCTGTTCATAAAAGCATGATATTGCTTATAGCCGGGTATTGCAATTTCACCCAATTATGCCAGGTTACAAATCTGTTTTTACACCTCTCTCCGAAACACATCCGGTCAAAAATCGCTGATAAAAGACTGATGACTCGCTGATTAAAAAACCCTGGCAAGTTTGTGCAAAGTTTTTTTAAAGAAAATCTCATTATAATCCCACGTAAAACGGCTCATGTACACCCCGTTTTTTAGAATGATCGTCATCAAGAACAGCTCCAACGTCGTCATGTTTTCAGAAGAGACGCCGGGAGATCCTGTGACGGGAATGTGGATCGAGAGCAGGGGCGAATACTGTAACCAGGCGGCGACCTCCGACCGCCATTGGGAGACCGCCGTCCAGATGAGGGCTGTACCCGGCACTCGCTTGGCCGAACCAAAGGTGGGTAAACAACTTGACGCAGCGGCGATACATGATTTACTTCAACGACAGATAGCGTCGAACTCTGGCGTCCAGTGATTGATTCCAGTGCTGCCTTCAGCTCCCTCAACGTTGACCAAAGATTGTCAGCGGATAGCTGGTTTTCGGGCCGGCAGTTAGCCGAATCGACAGTGACGGCTAGCCACTTAGCCGTGTTAGCCACGCTAGCCGGTTAGCCGGCTAGCCGTGACCAGCTGGTGGCCGAGGAGTCAAGGGTTAATGCTGTGTCATGTAACTATGTTTTCTTTTAATGTGATATATATATATATATATATATATATATATCACATCTCGTAAACTTTCATCAAGATATGCGTGTGCAACGGCCAACCTTTTCCAAAGTTTTGCTTGGCCATGTTCTAAGGCTGATCCCAGTAGATCAAAAACAGAAGCACAACCTGTGCAGGTGAAGGTGTATTTTAATATGATCCAGATTGATAAGACAGTAGTAATAGCCTCATTCCTCGGAGCGAAACCGGGAGAATGGAGGTATAGTGCTGATATTCTGTTATTGCTTCAACAAAGACATGTTGCCGAAATATCAGTTCACCTATATCCACACTCTTCTGATTATTCTCCGAGGAATGAGGCTTTTACCACGGTCCTATCTGCGCAGATAATGCTCCTCGCAAACGCACTTAACAGCTTACGTAATGCTCCCAGATTGTGTTGGGTCATAAGCTGCCTACAACAGCCCCGCCTGGCTGCCGTATACATTGATTTAAAGTCGATGGTGCTGGAAGCTGTCTACTCCAATCAACTTTACAGCATGCTCTCTTGTTGTGTATGATTGCGTCAAGTTGCGTTTGGCTGGATAGCTCCTTCCTACCTTACCTAAATGTGTCAGCAGCTTGTGTATAGTCAGTGACGGTTTTGAACATGCTCATGGCTCATTGATTTTTTGTCACGTGGCGTGTAGACTCGGCTGTTTTGATTTATCTTCCCACACCGTGGCCATATCCCTGCATTGTCCTCACATCTGTCCCCTGCCCGGCCCGCTCACCGTCCAGTTCCGGCACGTGCCGGTAATCTTCACCCTTGAGCGTCCCGTCTGGTTTTTCCAGCCGACGCGGATAGTGACGCCCTGACGTTAGGCGATAAACATTTTCCTGACGTTTGGCAGTGGCCCGTTCCTGGCATGTGCAAGCAGGTGGCCGAGGCCGGCCTACAAAGGCTGCGCACGATGGAGGTGGCCCTGCTGCTGGCCCTGCGTCTTGGCCGGCTGCAGGGCCGCCTCTATCGCTAATGGTCGCTAATGGTTGCTAACGGTCGCTAATGGCCGCTGAGGTACCGGAAGGAGGGCACCGGTTGCGAGCACTGGTTCTGGAACTGTATCAGACACGTCCGTGCCTGTGAAGGCGAGAGAGAGACTGAGAGACACGGCGAGAGAGAGTGAGAGAGAGACACGGCGAGAGACTGCCTGGGCGGTTGGCCGAAGGAGCGCTCGCAGCGCCGCGACTGTGCACAACAGTTTGTGCGCAGAGCTTTCTCCAAGAAAAACCTTCATATAATCTGTTATGCGCCCAAGCAGCCTCGCCAGACAACCAAGAAAAGCGGGTTCGGCCAGGGTTCGGTCGAGACACAGTTGTTAAGGGGAAGAGGGGACAGTCTGCTCCTCATGTATAGTCACAACTAGTGGAACAATGTTAGTGGGAGTCCAAAGAAGTTGGTCGACCAAAAAGG